TCGGCGGAAGAAATAGGCGTCGTCAAAATGATGTCCAGAAATTTTGCAGACGCCGCAAAGGTAGTTACTAGAGTGTTATCTATGAGGAACCCATAGAGCGCGCAAGTTGATGTGATGTTCAAAAAAGTTTGATTGGTGTATATACATCGCAATTCATTTTCCAATTCACCCACGTTTATCATGGGGTAAAATTTGGAGACAGTAGCCAACAAATGGATGGGAAATTGACGTGCAAATTTTGAAAAATTTTTGGGGTTCATCAAAGAGAACGCGGCAAGGTGTTCAGTGCGCAGACGATCGCCTATTTGATTCACGAGAATGTCACAGCATTCCTTTGCAGACAAAATCAAACGCTGCGTTGTTTGCCCGCGGCGTAAAGAAGCACTCCATGTGTCGTCGTATTTTATTGTTTCCCGGATACGAGATACAGCATCGCAGAAGTCTGAAATACATGACTGCACAGACGCTCCATCCATTAGCCTTGACTGCAATGCGCCGTATAATACATCCACGTGATAGAATATTGTGGAGAAAAAAGCGAGAAAAAATGAAAACTCACCATCTTCTAGCAGACGCTTTAGACCTGCCGCCTCCCTCACAGAGCGTTTGTCCCAAACCGGAGAGCTCTGAATGCCATTGAAACACTCAATGAGCTCAGACCTAATTTCGGACACGCCCTACACCACGCGTGATTGGAAGTTCCAACGTGTTGGTGCACAAGCTGGGAGACGGCGGCTACATATCTGGCGAAGGAGGTCAGAGCGCTTCGGCGAAACGGAAAAAAATGAAGAAAACCCCGAAACATTTGCAAAAAATATACGGACGAGAGGGGTATCAAGACACATATTTTTAATAACGAGGTTAAATTGGTGTGCATAACAATGTAAAAAATGCGCATGAGGAAAATCTTCTTTTATATAAACTTGAACACCATGTTTCGACCCACTCATGACTGCCGCGCCGTCATAAGTTTGAGCTATCAATTTTGACTTCGCGTTGTAAGGCTGTAACACTTCTTTCCGTACAGCCGATATCCCGCAAGCCGTGCGATCAACGATTGGTACAAAGCTGTGAAATCTCTCGGTAGGTTTACTATCTTTCACAAACCGAAAAATCAAAGCCAATTGGGAAACGCACGTGATGTCAGTTGTCTCGTCAGACTGACTCGAAAGGAACTGGCAATTCTCAATTTCCAGAGCCAAATGTTGTAAATAAATTTTATACATTGAGTCGAGCAAATCATTTTGGATATCCTTAGATGTCCCTTTCGAAACAGTTGCGGCATCAAGATGATCTCTCAATACTGTATCTAGGGATGCGGTGTATCCCACCATATCTAAAAATACCCCTCTATTAGAAGAGCCAGCCCGTTCACCGTGCCCACGGAGGGACAGCTCGTGACAACCAATGAACTTCAAAACATCAATCAATCGACCGAGAACATGGCGGTTTTTCTCGACGTTTTGGTTGTGCCGACGAATTGAAACCGCGCGTCCTTCATCCAACTGTGCTGCAATATTAACATTTTCGAATGTTCGGTATTTTACTGCATTGTCCAGATGCTCCATAGAAGATTGATGATCCCTGGCACGCTCGGAAAGATGTTTAAGATCTCTAAAACCAAATTTACACCAACGTGAGTCACGGGCGGTAGCAAAAAGTAGGCGATTAAAACAAAAAAGTGCATTTTTGTCTTCGCTGTAACACAACCATTCGTGTTTTTTATACCAAGTTTCTGCGCAGAATGTACGCCGACGCTTTCCTCCGTCATGGGATTGTTCCAGTGAACAATTTTTTGGTTGATAAGGCCCAAGACGTTGTACCTCTAATTTTTGTTCCAGCGGCAGCTGCGAAAACGGAGTGCGAAGTAGTGCATCAACCTTATTAATTATGAGGTCTAAGGCTAAGGAATGCGAAGCCGGAAAGAAGTGAGGAGCTCAAAAGGAATGTGGAAAATCGAAAGCAAATGGACTAAAGGTCTCTAACCGATTCAAATAGCGAAACAAGCGACAAAAACGAAGGCGAGGAAACTATCAACTCTTCAAGTAACCAACGAACGAGAAGGAATGGGTGAATATGTCAACACGTTGTTGTAAGAAACGTCGGCATTGTGTCGTCATAATTTCGGGGCTAGCCCCGATGATTTAGTAAAAGAAACAGAAAACAAACTAGACAAACGCGGCGAGTGGAAGATAAAAGAGAGAATACGATATAGAATGAGCAACCGGGGCAAAATTGGCGTCGCCCCGTCGACGTTCGGCGAAGCCTTTGCGAGCGAAAAATGAACCATGTCGGGAGAATATGGCTAGTGTAGACAGTCTGTGCAACCGATATTGAGGTATTTTTCAAATATTTTTTATTATACCGAAAAAACAACCGGGGCATTGCCCCGGTTGGCCCTATTGACGCGCCGCCACTGGGTTTCGCAACTACTTTTTAGCGCGACCCAAAAATTTTGTTTCTAATTTCTCGCGACCCAAGCATTTGGTAAACATGTAATTAGTTTATCGATTTTAAGACTATTATTAACACTAGCAATTTTCTTGCACAAAATTATATGAAACTTATTTCATAAATTCGTGAATAATAGCGTTTATTATGACTAATGCGATTTATTAGTTTTGTGTTTTGAACACAACATATCAATTCGAGGTTTAATTTGGGAGACAGCGACTCAAAGATCTTGTTCTACTTTTAGCCTTGATCTGTATTTGTTTTCTATGTATGAAAACGCAGGAAAGATCCTTTCACATAAGTAGGTAGTTCCGAATGGCAACAGAACATTCATTGCAGTAGCTGATAACTCTGGATATTCCTTTGCAACTGAAATCGAAAATTCAGCCAAATTTCTTTTGCCATCAAAAGCGATCTTCAATTCTAATTGTTGGTCCAATGTTTTGCTAGCCAGATTTTCGCTATGAAGAATGCAATGCGTAAAATTGATACGAGGCGCAATTTGTGATACTCTTGCTAAAAAAACTTTGTTTTCCCGCCATGGCCCCAGCCCTATCAGTACAAATGTTTGTTCCCACCAGTTTGTCAACATTATTTGTGCCTAAAACTACCTTTATAATTCTTAACCCCGTTAAATTTTGAATTTAAAACTTACAATAACAAATGTAACAGCACCTTATCTATTTAATTTAGAATGGACAAATCTCATCATCTGTCTTTATCAAGTAATTCCACACGGCTACTGCTAACCTCGCATTACTACCAAACAACACAATTGTCTACCTTAACAATGCAAACGAGAATACCGAAGACTTATCGATCGAGAGTTAGGGGATCCCCCAAGACAGCGCTCTTACTCCATAGTGACACCTTGTGTCCCATCACTAATTAATTAATAACTCGCTAATTATACACCATAATTCATCCAAAAGTAATAGGCTTCTGGTCCGACATATGATGAATGCACATGCAAAATCAGGAGCAGATTCAATCCCGCTTTCGTGAGATATCGCGTGCATCTAACAGACAGACATACAGACAAATACCTATCAACATACTTACCGATTAAAATCGATAAGTAACGACTACGTAATGAACGTTTCCCCGACTTTCGATCCCGACAAAATTCTTCCGCTTTATACTCTACCATTGCAAAATTATTGGTACTTATTTCAATAATGGTTTTGCAAGTTCGCGCCTAAAATCCGGTTTATATGTTTCAAACAATCATTTTAATTCAATACATTCAACCTTTCATTTAAATGTGCCGGTAAAAAAGTTTGTCCTAGTCTATCACAGCTATTTCTAGATTTAATTTTCGATTAATGCATTTAAAATAAAACTCCGACAGAGCAAAATGATTATTGAGTTATTTGATTAGGACTTAAATTTACCAAAACACAACTAAAAACTAACAAACCACCAAAACGAGGTAATATTCACAACCACAAAAGACTGTCTTAATGGCAAAAGTATCTGAGCGCTTCTGAAACGTTTATTGTTACGCCAAATTTTGCACTTATGCTGATTGGCCAATGTTAACGCAGTAAATAATGAAGTGTATACTCGGGGAAACATCCATAATTATAATCAGATATTTATAAAGTTGTTATACATAAATGCGCTACACAGACAGACGCGATGCTCATATTTATGGAAAATTTAAATTGTTTTGCGACCCAGAGCGGAGGGCTTCGCGACCCAAAATTTGGGTTGCGACTTGCGACCCCTGCCCTAAGCGACCACGGACCCCTATTTGAGAACCAATGAATTAGATAATGGAGAGATATTTAAAATATTATGAAATATATTGTAAGGAAAATATTGATTTAATAATTAGAAAACAGAATTAGGAAAATAATAATTATAAGTAAGAAAATAATATTAATAAACCAAATATGATAATCACTAGTTATTAGATGTTGCTGACTGGGCATTTCTCAAAACTGAAAATGTCATTTTTTCTGAACTTAATTGCCATGACATTTCGAAACAACTTAATCTACACAAGTTCAAAAAAAACTTCCACATAGTTTTATAGTAACCACATAAGTTTTTCATGTGAATCTAATACATGATAAATATTGCACAGGTTGATGTAGGTTAAATATCGGTACAGTCACCCAAACATCTCAATTCATTCAATAAATGTTAGTCTCTTATTTAAATCACCATTATTGAATTTCAAAGTTTCCTCAGACAGATTATTAAAATGCCTACAGATTCAATAACTAGGTAATGCTTTACAGGATGGAGACTGACAAAAAATAAAGTTGGGTTAACCTAATGTGAGCTGCACAGATGTGAAGTTAAGTAAATTGGCTTTGGAATTAAAACTTTTCTGCGATTATGGATGTTAGAACTATGCAATGATGATTACAGTTTATCAATTTTTGTTGATTTGGTTTACTTTAATCTAGGCTTGTTTTCTTTACATGGGTGATGGTTTGACAAGACCTATCTAAAAGCTAAGTGAACTACAATGTTTCTTTCGTAGCAACCTTATCATCATCATAACCAATAGTTCTGAACATAATACTTCAACGTTTTACAGCGAATGAGCATATTTAACTTCACAAAAAAAAAGTGTCAAAATATCATGAGAATTTTGCCTCATGCCTGACAAGATGCACCCTTTTAATGCAAGAGTAGGACCCTCATTTGGGCATAATCAGTTTATGCAACTAAGGGTGGTGGTGATGGAACTACTGGCATTACAATATAATAATAGTCATTGTTTCGATCAGCACTCATCGTAACACCTATAGTCCTTCTAAAATTAAAAACTAAATTAATTTTATTTGAAATTTATAGTATTAGTTTGTAACACTTCAGATGATAACTGAATCATATTTTCGATTTGAAACATTTTGAACAGAAATTGTTTGGAAAAACAAAATATAGTAAAATAACATAGCTAGATTTAGGAGGTAGATAAGTCATGTTACATTATAACAATTACTAGTAAATCCTGTGATTTTAGATTCAATTTCAAAAAAAAGAATCAAATGTCTATATATGTAGTGTGAATCAAGACAGGATAGGCAAAAATAAGGGTTTTGATTAAAATTTCTTTAACTCGGTGATATCGTACTTAATAAAAAATTATGTAGGCTGATAAATACAGCCTTAGTCTTGGAATTTGCATAACGTTAGAGGTGACTGGGAACTTACATCAGTCATTTTTCCGCTTCAGTTTTGGTAAAGTTCCCATGTACTTGCACAAGATTGACAACATAACTTCATCCGCTCCCCTCCAATTGAAATTAATCTTGAATCCCTGTACAATCTTGAAATAATACTTTCAGAAGAAAATCCCATACCACCCCAATATTGCAAGCATGCATCAGTAATTTCACGACCAAGCCGACCTGCTTTTAATTTAACCATAGAAGCTAAAGGTGTGACATCGTGACCTTTTATATATAATCCAACAACTCGGTAAACCATTGACCTTAGCATTTCAACTTCGGTTTGTAGTTCAGCCATTCGGAAATGGACAGATTGGTGGTCCAATACAGAACCACCAAAAATTTGTCTATTTCTGGCATAGTCGATAGTCGAATCAATGGCTCGCTGAAGCAGTTTTAAAGCAGTTGCTCCAGAAAAGAGCCTCTCTTCCTGGAACTGAATCATTTGGTACATAAAACCAGCTCCTTCTTCACCAATAATATTAGAACGTGGTACCCTGACATCATCGAAAGTGACACGAGATGTATCAGAACTATGCATTCCAATTTTATCAATTCGATTTGCTATGGTAATTCCTGGAAGATCCATCGGAACGCAAATAAGAGATTTACTGGAGTGTACAGCCTTATCATTTGTAGTGGCAATCATACACATCCAGTCTGCTTGCGCGGCATTCGTTATCCACATCTTTTCTCCATTGATAATAAGATCATCTCCATCAGTTTGAGCTCGAGTTTTGATGCTCGCTACATCTGACCCAGAACCTGTTTCGCTCACACCAAGACAAGCAACGTAATCACCACGAATAGATGGAGCCAAAAATTTCTCTTTTAACTCATGGCTTCCAAATTTTGCCAATGCAGGGGTTGCCATATCGACTTGTACACCTATTGCCATGGGTATACTACCACAGAGTATACTTCCGAGCTCTTCATTCACAGCTACTGAATAACTATAGTCCAATCCCAGCCCCCCATATGCAACAGGTTTGTTTACACCAAGGAATCCAGCATTTCCTAGAATCTTGAAAACGGTGTGTGCGGGAAATTCTTTTTTCTCTTCCCAAGCATCAACAAATGGATTAATATCTTTGTCAATTATTTTACGTAGTGATCTCATGAGTTGAGCATGATCTTCTGTATATATGCTTTCCTCAGATTCATCCCAAGTTTTGTATGAACATGAATTTATTATAGCATGAGATTTTGCCAAACGCCGACATAAACAAGACAAGTCCCTAATCGGTCTGAGTGCACGTGACATATTATTTATAGCCTACTGAATAAATCTGAAAATGATTTGCAAAACCCATCAAAATACTGATCAATAAAGGCCATTAGTGTTGGAGATAACTGGATGATAAGATTGACTTATTATGGAGATTTTACTTGATTAAAGTTTTCAGGCCTTTTTCTGTTTTTGGAATGGCTAAAACAACCAGAGTAGCCTTCTCTGTACACAGTACTGCAGTACGCACTCTCATGATGTAATTAACATTTAACATGTCAATGAACACTCAATGTTAAACAATTCAGAATAACCTGGTATCAGATTCAATTTTATTTATCTCATTGCGAAATTATTTTTTGTTGTTCAACAAAGTGAATTTTGCAGAATAATTAATTAAATAAAATATTACATAAGGACATATAGGCTACATGTATTGATGTATAAGATATATTCATTAACGACAAAATCTTCCAATCATATCTCATATGCAATATTTCCAGATACTGAGATAGACTACTCTACAGTCAGACAGTGTTCCATTATCAATTTATTTATCAAGTTAATTTCAACATACAAGTTTAGTTATTACTTATAATTATTGAGAATAAAAAACCATCATACTGTGACAAGTCATAGGCTATTGTAGAATCGGAGGTTCTGCAGATCATAGCCTATTTCTGCTTGTCGAGCGGTGCTGCAAATCTATCTCAATACCGGTAGCTAACTTTGACATATTACAGTATTACCGGTACCACACACAAAAACATATCCAAACCAACGGCCGGCACCCAACTTGCCTAATGTTAAACAAGTTCATGGACGCCATCTTGTGCCATATTTGAGAAACGCGAAACAATGGAGTCTTATGGGAAATTTTCGTCGTGTTGTTGAACCGAATCGAATAAGTCCGCTGGTATAAGGGCTAGAATGAAACTGAAGGGTGGGTTTTGAACTTTAAGATATATGCTATCTAAATATATAAATAAATTAAGAATAAAAAACTATCTAATGCGTTAAATTTGACCTCAAACACAGCGTAGAACCATTTTTGGTCATTTTTTCAAAGATTTCATAGTGATACGCTAATTTGAGGCAGTAAAATGTCTCCGCAACAATCCTACAATGTCCTTTGTTCTTCTAGCGCAGCTTGGAGCCGAGCAGTAAAGCATTATGGAGCTTGATAGACGAAAAATGTTAACCAGAAAATAGAAACGGAGGGAAAAATAGAAGCAAAGTTGGGTCGGCCGGTAATTTCGACGAATAAATACAACTTTTCATATGTGACGTCATAAGATACGCCATTGTCCAATGGTTAATTATGACGATTAGAATAACCAATTTACTTCGGAAGCAACTCGGAACCGGTATACTTGTCTTCAAAGACAATTTAATGTACTATAAATGTAATTTGGCCAACATGAAAGGATATAAGCATGTTCGGCTAAGATTCTACTTCAAAACGCGACCTTCAAAATTTTCTACATAAAATATTAGTGAAAATAATGGGTATGTTTCAATAATTGAGTTGGAACTTCTCATAAGGCGCCGTGTTAAATTGCCGAGAACAATAGGCACAAGATGGCGTCCATTGTTTGAGGGTTGCCTCGCTTATATTATACACACGCTTTGATCCAAACAGGTATGAAATGTTGTATTGGGAGTATACCGGTATACAGGATCACACCGGGCAAAACGTCCAAGCTCGTGTGCAAAGCATACGAGATCGCGAACAAACTCATATGTTTCGCGTGAATCTTATTATCTGATATATACATCGTCAGTAAATTCTGGTTGAACTTTGCAATGAACGTTCCCTGACCTTTAACCCCAATTAAATTTTACATTTAGTCAATGAGCATATATACATATATGCTCATTGATTCAGTTTATAGCAACTATACTTTACCATTTTATGTTAACATGTTTTATAACCACCCAACGGTGGTAACTGACTCCGATGACCGCATGGTCGTATCGTTGCCACCAATGACATTAAACACATTGAGTGTTATACACACCTCAATGATTAAACAACATGATGCGCAACTCCGGCATTTTTGACCGAAGATCGTATCCAATGCACATACTTGACGAGACAAAAACGAGCGGATGTGTGCTGCTTTCAAGGCATAGCACGAATGGTGTCGAATGGAATCGACAGTTGTTGTCGATTTTAATGATATTTTGGAAAGTTGAGTTAAAAAGAAATTGGAAAAAGGTGAGGTAAATACTATTGTTGTATATCACACCCGGTCATCGCACTGTTAAGTACAAGTGGGAAAGCCAGCTTTTTCAAATACTACGAAGTTATTAATTCAGTACAGTACGTAGTTGCCCATTTGCCGAAATTGCATATTCACTTACCCCTTATGGTTTCAAATAGTTCATGCACCTCCATTTAGATTTTTTAACCGATGAGGATATATAGAGGACTTGCACGGGTCACGTGACTTTTTTTACTGGACGGCAATAAAAACAAAAACGTCCATTTGGCTCCTGTCAGTTGCAAGTCGGATTATACGTTTCCGTTTTGATTGGCTGTTGAAAATGGTTATTTCGTATTGTTCCATTGGCTGTCCATTGGCTGTACGAAATGGATCCTCAGTTATATTCCACTGTTTTCAAAAAATCCGGAACGTCGCGTAATGTGGATATCATCTATTGGCAGGACTGCTTGTGTCAAGTCCAGAAGTCATCTCGCTTGTGTTTCACTTTTTGCGGACGGCACTTCGTTGATGGTGAGTGATAATGTGCCGTTATCAATTTTTTTTAAATATTCATAAGCCCCCTCATTTCAATGGAAATCTGATGACAGACTACTGTTATTGGTAGGCCTAGGTGTGTCGTGTAGGCCTACTTGCAGACTTGACTTGTGTTAGGTATTAATCATCAATTGCCATAAGATATTGTTTCCCTAGTTAGCAGGTAATCTATTACTAAGTGTGAAAAGTTGAATAGATAACTAAAGTTTAGCACCAGTGGTCATGCAAAAAATAACCAGAATTCAATTGAATTCGTCATCTAGGAATACGCTCGCCACCGCATCTCTGATCATCCTGGTAGTTTCCCAGGTTCCAATCCCATGCGGGGATAGTTATGTAATCAAACGATGTTGAACAAATTCTGTTAACTTGTATGCGTTGCAATATCACTTTGCAGTTGTAAGCATAAACATTTAACGTGTCTTTCGACTGGACTTACCACACTTTAAAAGAAGTCGCCTATACCCTTTTTCACGAGAACCATAACACTGTAAAAGCATCATATCTTCCATTTGAAAGGGCTGTGGAGGCAGATACATTTTTTACTCTAAATATTGGAATGTTTCTTAGGTTATCATATCCTTGCTTATAGATATCTTGATGTTAGTGACTCCAACTGACCCATGCATGCCACACTGAAAATTCTCTTGTCTACCGATAAAATTAAGCAGTTGGAGCCTTCCAATCTGTGCACGATGGATTCATGTGAAACACGTAATATGCATTTATAAGCAAAAATATCCCATCCTGAGCAGCACCGATTCACAACCTCCTGCCTATGGAATCAAAGCATTAGACATTGGTGTTCTGTGCGCATTCACAAATCTTTGCGAATCAAGTGTGCCTTTTGACTAAGAAAAATTTAGCATTGATTTGAAATGGTCAAACTCAATATAAACCTGGTATCTGCAGATAAAAAACAATTGATTTTTCAAAAATACATTTTTATAATTACTGTAAAGTGTATGATACATTTGGTACCATGAATACCATTTGCAAATTAGCTTGGGTTACACCCCTATCGAATGAAAGTTTAGACTCTTAAGTCGTATCTCATAATATTCTTTAAACAAAAGATTGCGGCTAGCCGGCTACCCATCAGAATTTTCTTTCAGATAACAAAGATGCAATATTACGCCTCGCTAAGTTTCATTGGCAACTGTATTTGGTTGTAGTATCGGTGTCCAACTTTAGACTGAAACCTTCACTACCAACCGGAACAAAAAAAAATTTCTTGATAGGGTCGTATTGAAGTTGCTTTCGTTCAAGCACAATGGACACTTTATTTCCACCAATCCACAGTAATCACAAGTTACTTTGTCATTACGTTAAGCACCAATAAATGGATACTGAGGATGTGTTATCAAGCCACGCAAGCTGAGGTCTTGTTGCAACTTATACTTTGCCATCCATCTATTCCATGGTCACACCCATATCTGTAAGATGAAGGATACAGATTCATTTTGATATCATGATTCTGCACTAGCTTTGTAATATTTGTAGAGTTTTCGTAAAATTTAACGATCAAGTGGTGTGAAATTTATGTCCTTATCCCACCACAAAAAGACATTTTGGGACAGTTGTACAAGCACCTTTAGGATTGCGGGTGCAACAACTAAATCATATGACGAACCACAGTCTCTCGTACGATTACCATTGTATGTTGGGATTAGTTAGTCAGTTATTTGTTTAATTGCTGATTAATTCCTTACACAAGTAAAGTCTGCAAGTAGGCATAGGCCTACCAATAACAGTAGTTTGTCATCTGCTTTCCATTGAAATGAGGAAGCTTATGAATATTTAAAAAAATTTATAACGGCACATTATCACTCACCATCAACGAAGTGCTGTCCGCAAACAGTGAAACACAAGCGAGATGACTTCTGGACTTGACACCAACACCAAGCAGTGGAATATAACTGAAGATCCATTTCGTTGTATACACTATACGTACAGCCAACGGAACAATACGAAATAACCGTTTTCAACAGCCAAAACAAAACGGAAACGTATAATCCGACTTGCAACTGACAGGAGCCAAATGGACGTTTTTGTTTTTATTGCCGTCCAGTAACGAAGTCACGTGACCCGTGCAAGTCCTCTATACTCATTGCTGTAACATACTATTGCTCATTCACTTTTATTTGCGTTTTGGCTTAACAAGTTCACCTAACATTTCACTCATATTGGTCTATATTGTATAGTCTGATCTCTCAAGTATATGAAGCCACGAATGCTTGTAATTTTCTGACTAAACCTCTTTATTAGTTGGTTTATATACCAAATTCAGTAAAACATTTTTTACATAAAACATGAGA